TCCGCAACCAAAGGCCATGTCCTTGGGATTACTAAGACAAATGGGGCAAACCTGTCAAGATTGAGAGAGAAAGGGTTAAAAAGCCCTTTATAATGCTAATAACTACAATGTTATTTCAATGGAAGGTTTAGCATACCTGGTTATCGTAAAGGGAGCTCAAAAATGGACCTGTGCCTGTGGTAGCTGCCGTATCATAAGATGGACCTGTGCCGGTGGTAGCAGCGCTATCATATCCAGCATACGGTGGTACATTTTGCTGAAAACTGTTTGGGCGAGAATATGGGGATGCATTCTGCTTAAAACTGCTGGATTGAGAATACGGAGATGCATCCTGCTGAAAACTGCTCGAGCGAGAATATGACTTCGGGTTATTGAAGGATGAGGCACCGTACATGGGAGGTGGGAGAGGAACTCTCTCTGATGTATTTCCCTTTCTTCCTCTGGTTTATCAATAACAAGAAAACAATTAGAAATTAATGTTACATTACTAACAGTTATAGAAATTAATTAAGAGTCAAAGTAACATAGATAACAAATTTGATAACTACCTCAATAGGCCGAGCTCGATAGTTGCTTTATACTGAGAAGGTATTTCCATCAAGGCTGAAAGAGCAAATTCTGCTTGCTTTCTCGATGGATCCGTATTCTTCGACATAATCTCAGTGAAGTTCACGAACTAGTAAGGCGAAAAAGATGGCATTTAACAACTAAGAACATTCATCGGTAGACAAAAAGGGAAGAGAACTGTGAAACACCCGAAGACAAAAGTAAATTACAGTTTTCAACAATAACAAGTCATCAAAGATATTTCACCTGCAAATTGTCGAAAGCACGAGCAGGGATGTTATCATCGAACTCCCTCATCATGTCCCAAGGTCCATCGCCAATCCCGACTAGGACAATTGACAAGGGGAATTCACTGCAACCAAATGAACCATGTTAGAACATATAGTGCGAGGCAATCTAAAGCAAGTGGCGAGTTAATGGTAGTCACCTTGCTGTAACGATTGCATCAATTGTCTTCTGCTCTTGGGGGCTAAGCTGACCGTGCTGTGTATCAACACTTCTTGTAACCTAGGAGATATATGAAACAAAAATGTTGGAAACTGAGATCCAGATTTCACCTGGACTTATATTAAGGATGACTCATCGTAAGAGTAAAATCGAAGTTGTCTTTCACGGACAATTGTTAGTCCAATCAACATCAGAATGATCAGATGTTCTTCGGATCCGGAGAGATGGTGACACTATATCAAATAGATGCTTCTAGTTTTTGCTTCTCTATATTATCCAGAGTTACCTTATTAATAGTGGCAGTAAACTATCTTTGGATTTAGAGGGATAGAAACCCACTATACCAAATGCTTAGTAGTTGGTCTATCCTCTTAACCAAATATTTTGTTACTCTAGTCTAGTTTTTCGGAGCATGTCTCAGTTTCTGTCTATTCCTAGACCAGAGTGTATACAATCAAAATTTTGAAACATAGAAAACTGAGTTTTCTTCTTGCATATTACCTGTCCATCAGCAATTATCAGCAAAACATGGTATTGACCACCACTTTGCTCGACGATGGTCATGGCCATTTCAATGATGGGTGCGAAAGATGTTGGTCCTGCCATAAACAAAAATAAAAAGGCTGTTGTGGTTTGACTTCAAGATGTATATATAACAAGAATAATCCAATGAATCAAGTTGGCACCTACGAGGCAAAGCTAGGGAACAATTTCTCTGTATTGTGCAAGCACCTCCTCAAATCCATTGCAAAATCTCTCATCAGGATAGAAACTGAAGACGTCTTGATCATGTGTTGATGCTAAGGACGTATGAAGCGAATAAATTTAATAATCCATATGTAGAAATCAAATTAATGCAGAATTGTAAGAAAACACTTTCAATGAACTTTACCATCTCCAAATCCATAACACGGAATTAAGTTATCCTCATCAAAAGCAGACAAACTCTGTCCGATAATCGATATAGCTTGTTCATAGGGATTTTGGCCATTACCAATGTGATGCAAGATTTTGCGGTTGAATGACCTTGCACCTGGTTTCCAGCAAATTTAAGTGGTGTGCTGCAGATCGTTTAAAAAAAAAAAGCTACGTGGCGGATAGAATCAGTAAGTTATACCTGTCCATTCGTTGCTCTTTGTGAAATCGATACCAACAATAAGGTTAGAGGACTCAAGGCCAGCTTGTGCAAGGGCTGCGGTAACCTGCAGTCAGTAATTAATGCAGTCAGCAAGTTTTCCGCATGAAACATCTGAATGATTGAAGCAGCCACATATGGCAGAAACAGGAAAAAAATCAACTTAAAATCATTGCAAAATTTGTCACAAGACAGACAATACATTACTGCTGTCAATTAAATGAATCTCCTAAATGAAAAACCAGAAGTTAATCCTTTTCCAGAACTCATGAGGCATTCTAATTAAATTTTAGCAGTCCATGACTCTTCATTGCGCTTGAAGTACCCGTGTCAAACACATGAACCTCTAAAAACCATCTTAATAGAAAATTTTGGGTATACCCGTGTCAAAGGCATACCCCATATCCAACACTCACAGCTCAGTGCAAGTAAAATAGGGTCATGGAAATCATGTTCATTATGGACAAATATCCCTGTTTACCATCACCGCCAATCACACCCTTTCTTCACGTTAACCAAAACAAGGACAATACAGATAACACTCATAAGAATTGCATAGCAACAAGAAGGTTACCTGGTCCAGTGTTTTGTAATTATCATCTATCCTCGTGTATTTCAGTCTTATGCCCGCGGCGGGGTGTTTGCGATCCGTAATTGCTCGAGGGAGGTGGAGCATAGTGATGCTGTGGTGTATAATAAAGATTTTGTGGGTCCTGATTGCGGAGGGTATCCGTATTGACTCCATGAATTCGAACCACTGGACGTGCTTGTCCGATACTCTCTTCCACGCCAATCCTTTGAGCTTTTACCTCCCATAACCAATATAATCTTAACAAACTAAGCTACCCCAAGACTTAAATTGCAGAAAAATGTTAACTCCTGCAAATCAAATAAGATCAATCATGAAAATCATTGAAAGACAGACAACTTTTATGGGATAAGTTCATAAAATGACTGCAATAATTGAATATGATCAAAATCTTGCCAACTAAAATCTACCTACTGATATGAAAGAAAAGACTAACAAAATGCAAAAAAAAAAAAAAAATTGCTGCTGCTTGCATTGACTGGTTCGAAAAGCTACCTACTGATGAAAGGAAATTTTAACACCCAAATGTTTCCATAAAAATAAAGAAAGCGATACACATTAAATTGTATACGCATCCCTCGCCAGCAAGGAATTATAATTTTAATAAATGAATCAACTACCATTGTTTTTCTGTCGGTTTTGCTTTCCAATCAATGCGTTTTGATGGTTTATTATTCTATAATAAACCAACCATATTCTGGAAACGAATCAATTAAATATTAAACAAAGACCCTACGGTTCTGAGTCATCATCTTCATTTCAAAGTAAAAATTCAAGAAAAAAAAAAGTGAAGTAACAATGATCAAACCTTGGTTTATCCAGTTGGGACTTGAGATTCAGTCACTCTACACGATGATCTGAAAAACAGATATGAGAGTTACAATAAACAACGGAAATTGTCTCCACCTGAAAAAGATTTTTGATGTTTCTATGTCAAAATAAACAACGAAATGATGGTAATTGGGGGATGAAAGGTCAACAAAGTTCGGTAAGGGAAGGTGCATCACATGGAATTAAAAGTGCAAACGTGTCTTTTTCAAGTGCATCTGCGACTAAAGCTCCGATGAGTTTGATTTGATTTTTAGTTGAGTGAGACTAGAGAGTCAATGAGGTTTCTTCCCTGAACCATGTCGATCCATTTTTTAAACAGGATTTTAGCGAAGATTATACTTTTCTCAGTTTCTGCTGCATAAAGGTTGTCCCTGCATGTTTCTTCAAAGCGAAAAAACAAAACAAAACTTTGCATCAATCATACGAAAGGCGACGCTGTCTCGTGATCTTAATTCTTAGCAACTGATGACAAAAGGCGACAAAATCTGATTAATTTAGGGAATTATCGTGGTTTAAAAAATATCTATAATAAAAAGTTATCCTTACTTTATCAACTTTTTAAATGGTTTAATTTTCAATCAAAATAATTTAAATGAGAATAGTTAGTTAATTACCAATTAACCTATGCATTGTTAACATGAACATTTTACTTTTATTTAATTGATAATATAGCATGTGCTATGATATTATTTTGGTGACATAACATTTATCATGTTATATTTTTAGTGACGTGGGTTATGTAATACATGTCACATCATTATTTTAAATGATGTGATACATATTACGTCAGTAATTAAATACGTATAAAAATATCATATTAATAATTATTAATCAATTAACATTTTTTTTATCAAATATAGATTATTTTAATTAAAAATAAAAATATTTTAAGAAAAATATAATACAAAATAATTTTACACAAACATTAGAGGCTAATTTTATCATTATAGCTTTGAAAAATATTAGTGAAATGAGGTATCTAGACATGAATTAAGGTGAAAACTACGTTGTCTCTTGATTCTAAAATTATTGAAGTCTTGATTTATTTAAAAAATGGAATAAAATAGGTAATATGTCCGGCGAATTTATAAATCGTGATCATGTGTTGGGTAATAAATTTAGTTTAAACTACCTATTTGACAAGTCATTTATTTATTATTATTATTTTTTTTTGATAATTTGATTTTATTACCCAAAAGAAAGAAAAGAAACGTGCTACAATCAATACAAATTACCAAAAGTCATTAGGTACCAAACCCCTACTAACAGCCTAGGTAACAACCAAACTAAATACATCAAAAAATAAATAGAATAAGAAAACAAGCAGCAAAAAGCAAGCAAGAGCAAACTCCCCATAAGCAACCGCCCATAGACCTGCACACATCTGCGAATGTAGAACCAAGAAGCCCTCATCAAATCAGCAAACCAACACTAGCCAATGCTCCATTCCAGGCAGAGCTGAAGATTAACACTGTCAACCTTGTTTATGTTGTATCCTTGTAACCTAGCCCCAACCGATCTCTTAATACTTTCAAAGATATCATCATCTGTCCTAGAGCAGCCTCTGAAACACCTGAGATTGCGTTCTTCCCACACAAAGTATAAAAGGCAAATCCAAGCCAATTTCAAAATACAAATCAACAAGGATTTACCCCTGAAGTTAGCTACTGCCCAAGCCAAAGAATCACTCCAACACAATTCCCTGTAGGGGATTCTATAAGTCTGCAGCACCTTGCTCCAAATTCCCCTAGTAAAAACACAGTCATTGAAAAGATGGTCTATGTCTTTAAGCCCAGCATTGCAAGGAACACAACCTCCATCCAACTTCATTCCCATATTGTTGAGTCTGTCCTTAGTAGGGAGCCTATTCAAAACAGCCATCCAAGCAACAATTGACATTCTTGGGACATGTAAGGGGAACCAAATAAGGTGTTCCCATCTGACCTTTTCCCTCTTGTCTCTTAACTTCTCCCACACCCACTTACTTTTGACCATATTCCAGTCCACTATACTACCAAATAAGACAGCAGCTTCATTCCTAAGTTTAAGCAGTTTTCTCAAAATCGAGTTAAATTGAGGTTTAGGACTGACTTCCCAATAAGCAGTCTCCTTCAGAGCATATTCTTTGATCCAGGCCACCCAAAGTGACCCTGCATTAGCTAGGATGTTCCTTATCAACAAGAAGCAGCACACCTTATTCCAACAACCAAGACTCTTCAAACCCAAACCACCCTCCGATTTTAACCAGCACATTTGCAATCAGCTCACTCTAGCCCCCCTAGCAGGAATGTCACCACCCTTCCAAAAGAATCTCATGCAAAGCTGCTCAACCTGCCTAATTACCTCATTTGGCAAAACCAGATGCCTACACCAATAATTTGAAATACTAAAAAGAACAGGTTGAATAAGCTGCAACCTACCACCATAGTTCAGCTTCAATTTAGACCATATGTTCAGTTTACTTCTAATATTATCAATCAAAGGAATGCAATCCTTGACAGCTAATTTTCTAGTGACTAAAGGTACCCCAAGGTACCTAACAGGGAGTCTTCCCAATTTAAATCCAGTTACTGCCAGCATCCTACTTAAAATATCATTTTGCACCCCACAAACAAACATTTCAGATTTGCCAGCATTAAGCTGAAGACCAGACAACTCATAGAAAACCTCCAAAACCCCAACAACACCCAAAATAGAGCTCTCATCACCATGAGAGAAAATAAGCAAGTCGTCAGCAAAACTAAGATGGGTGAGGGAGACATGTTTGCATTTAGGATGGAACCGGATTAGGCCATTACAAGCAGCAACATTAAGCAAATGAGACAACACATTCATAACCAAAACAAAAAGATAAGGGGACAGAGGGTCCCCTTGCCTAATCCCCCTTCTCCCTTTAAAAATCCCACTAAGCTCCCATTAAATGCCACAGAGAACCTTACACCAGTGATAAAAACCTTGATCTAAACTTTAAATTCCTCAGGAATCCCCAAGGCAACAAGAACTTTCAACAAAAAATCCCAGCACACAGAATCAAAAGCCTTCCTAAGGTCAATTTTAAAAGCACATCTAGGGGACAGTGAGCTGCGAGAGTATCCCCTAACTATTTCCTGAGCTAATAGGGTATTATCAACTATGTTACGACCCTGAATGAATGCAGACTGATTCAGTAAAATCAAGCTTGGAAAGAAGCTAGCCAAACGATCAACAATGATGCTAGTAATGGTTTTATATACAACCGAGCAGCAAGATATGGGGTGAAAGTCCTTAGCCATACCTGCATTAGGAGTCTTAGGCACTAGGACAATGGTTGTAGCATTGAAGGCATGCAGCAAGACACCAGTCTGAAAGAACTCTCTAATGGCAGCAAAAAAATCAACTTGAATAATATCCCAGGCCACTTTGAAGAAGTATGCAGTATACCCATCAGTCTCATGACTCTTTTCATTCCCTTGCTTAAACAAGGAAGCTTTGATTTCCTCATTAGAAATCTCCTTCACTAGGGAGGCAGCAGTAGCACAGGGAAGCTCATACCCCAACAAATCCTTAAGAACATCCACATCACGACTTTTAACACAATAGTCCTCCATGCCAAGTAGCACTGTATAAAACCTCACCATCTCAGCAGACATGGTCTCAAAAGTATCTAGCCTAGAGCCATCCTCAGCATAAAGCAATCTGACAGTGTTCTTCTTCCTCTTCCTCATCACAGAAGAATGGAAGAACTTGGTATTCCTATCACTCCCTAAGCCAGTGGACTTTGGCTTTCTGTTTGTAGAAAGAAGCTTTAGCCACTTCAAGGTCATGAAGCTCATTTTGAAGGCTCTTCTCATCATCAATGTAGCAGCCAGCATGTGAAAGATTTGCAAGCTACACTTGCTCAAGCTGATCCCTCTTATCCTTAACCCTTTTGGAAATGTCCTCAAAATGGCACTTATTATTTTAATTATGTAATTATATTTTTAAAATTTATATTTAATGTTATATATTTTTTTATTTTGATATTCGATCGATAAAAAGTTAATAATGATGTGAAATTATTATTATTGTTTTTAATTTTTATATTATATTTTCTTTTACCATTATTTTCATATCAACATTTTATAGACCGAATAAATTCATTAAAATATATCACTAAGATACTAACAATGAGAGAATATATGACGTGAAAAAATTTAATGTCGCTATTATCATTAGTTTTTTATAATAAGATATTAAAAATAAAAACAAAATAACGTTAGGTATGATTTTAAAAATATTTAGATGACTAAAACCTAAATGTGAGAATAGGTGAAGTATCAAATAAGTAGTTTATCTATTTTATAAGTTGTAACCATCAGTGGGGAATCCACAACTTGTCGAGGGTAGACAGTAAAATTTATTTATTTTTAGTTAATTATTTATTTTATTCACAACACACACCCTTAAATTTTAATTATATCTGTCCATTCAAAACTTTTGTGCTATTATTATATATATATACTCATTTTTAAAAGTATTTTTGGATCTGTCCTATAAGCATTCGCCGACTTTACACTATTGCTCGCCCGTCATTGAGGGGTAATGGGGTTGGTCGAAAGGGGCGGCAAAGATTAATTTCTTCCTCTACCAAGGTTCAACTTCAAGTAAGTTTTGTTCGATAATAGTATATGTTGTTTAAATAAATTTTTTGATATGTTCTTGTTTAAATTGTTGCATAAATATATGTGAAATTAATATTTCTTAAGTAATAAATTGTGTTTGTATTGTGTGTATAACAGTATAAGTATGTGTTTTGAGTTTTATTTAGTTGTTTAGTTATGAAAAAAGAAAGAATAATGTTGAATTATGAGAATTTAAAAAATTAAATTGAATAAAGTTTAGAAAAAATATTTAAATTTAAAACATAAAATAGTATTATATTGAGCATATCATTAAGGGTGAGTATTCGATTGAATTGAATCAAATAAAAAAATTAAATTATATGAATTGATAAACCCTATTTTATAACTTAAACTTTGTTTTAAAAATTTATGAGTCGAATCAAATTTATAAAATTCAAGCTAAGTTGAGTTGATTTGTTCAAATTTATGTTTAAATTTAATTATACATATTTTAATGCTACAATATTATTTGATTATAATTTAAACGATTTTCAATAACTATATATAATATATATATATATATATATCTTCATATTTTTTATATTTGGTATACATATATTATGTCTAATTAATAGACTCGACTTAAACTTGAAAATCAACTTATTAATTACTAAAAATTTCAAGTTATTCAAGTTATAGTTTATAATTAAACTCAAATTTAAAATTATTCGAGCTTTATTTTATAACTAAACTCAAATTTGAAAATTTTAGAGTCAAATTTTTAGCATCGAATCGAGTTGAAAAATTCAATTTTTTTTTAAGTCGAATTTAGTTAGCCCTACATTCCATTCCTGTTCATCGGTGTCAAAACTCCTCAACAATCGGATAATCCGAATAATCATCTATTTTTCCTAAGGTTTATATTTAGCCAAAAGAAGCCTAACGTTCAGATACATAAGCTTGAAATCCACAACTCAAAGCAACCATATCTACTTCTTCAAATCCTAAATCAAATCCCCAAGCCCCTTCAAGCATCTTCTTTGTAAACATTTTAGAATGCACAATAGTGACATCTGAGTGTCCTAATAATGGCATCGAATGTTGAATGAATAATCAATAACATTCGAATGGTTTTACCGAAATACCACTACAGTTGAATGCACGGGCAAAATTTCCAATAAACTTCAAAATGTGTGCAACGGAATAGAGATAAAAACCTGTATTCCTTGGACAAGTGTAAATATCAGATACAAATATGCAATCGAAACGGGTAAATTTAATATTTTAAAGTTCTCTTTTCAAGTATTTGAAGAGCCTTCAGAGGAATATATACTCTTATCCTTAACAAAAAACGTGCCATGCATTAGTGCTTTAAGAAAAATAGAGTCCAAACAACATAAGTCAACACTGTAATTATTTCAATGCACATAAATATGTATCATCATTCTTCAATTCCCAATCATGAAAGAACTGTCAAACCAGCAAAATATGCAAATGTCAATCCCCATTTCATCAAGCTAAGGAAAAAAGGGGGAAAGAAAGAAAGAAAAGGTTCTTGATTTCAATCCTTGATATCAAAAGGAGCATTAAAATTTCCTGCAAAATTACAGAGAAAACTCCACCAAAGCTGTCCTCACAGACCCCTGCATAACAAAAACAAGGACATTTTCATATATGTTCTCCCATTAAAGGAAAATGCAAAACAAGAAGTAACAGAGAAAATAATAGCAAACATAAAAGAGCAGATTCGAACATGGTAATGGATGATAGTATATGAGACAACTATGCTTGCAAGCTCCACAAAATTGTCTCGAAAGAACTAAATTTGTCTTGATCATTCTTTAGTTGAGCTAGAGTTTGAGCAGCTCAAGCTATTGAATAAGCAGATGCTAGGTATCCTAATGCTTGCCATAAGCAGCTAGCTCGCAAGCCTAATCCAGTTTTTTCTAATTTCTATCTAGGTTAGCATAGCATTGCTTTTGAAAAATGTTGTGAAAAAAATACTTTTGAAAAGAATTTTGAAAATTTTGGTTTTAAGAGTATTGACAAACCTAATTCAATCTCAGCTCAAACACAAATAATCTGATTTGAAGTTGAGCATGAAAGGCAAGCTTATATTTTACTAGAGTATACAAACAATAGAGGATGAAAGCTAGTCTAGATACAAAAGGATACTGCATGATTATGCACAGACAATTGTGCTTGTAAGCTATTCAAGTTCGTCTTGAAAGAACTCGAATTTGCAATGAACATTCTCAATCACGTTGGAGCTTGAGCAGCTCAGGCTATTGACTAATCCAGATTATAGTCTATCAATGCTTGACTTGAGTAGTCTGTGGCTCTAACCAAACTTCTTTATTTTCAATTAATATTGGAAAACTGATTACAAACGCGAGCTCAAACATTAATAATCCAATTTGAAATAGAGTATAAGAACAAGATAAACGAGCTTTAAGCTCTAACAAATTGATTCTTATCTTGAACTAAATTCCAGCTTTTCAAAATGAAACTCTATTGAACTCAAATTTCGATTTAAATTTGTGCTTGATTCCGTTCAATTAGACCCTAGGCGTTGTCATCCATCAATTTATTCATGGTCGACATTCTATGCTAGATTCATTTAAGTTTCAAGTTTTAACTGTGACTATCTAACCCTTTTAGAGCACTAAAAAAAGGGAATTCAAAATTTTAGAAACCAGGAAACTTCTCAAGTACCTGACTTTCTTGACGAGGATCATCTGAAGCTTGCGAGCGTGGTCCTGCGATCGGAGCTTACGCTCCAAATTCTTGCGAGCCAAAATGCGTTTCTCAGAATTCTTCATGTGATGAGTTTGTTCCTGCTTTATCATCCGTTCGATTCCGCTCGATTGCATCAGCCGCTGCATCATCGCCAACGCTCGCTCCAAGTTCCCGTCCCTTACCTTCACTCTTATACCTCTCATTTGCTGAAACTTACTCGGGTCATGACCCAGCGAGTTGATTCCCTGTCTCACCGGAGTAAAGATCCCGGTAATAGCTCGCCTCGCGTTCATCTCTGTAATAAGTTTTCCTCAGGAATTGGGATTCCCTTTCTATCGGTACACATTTGCATTAGGGTTTTTTCTTCTGGGTTTTAAGAGTATTTTTTTTATAAAACTTTAAATGACTAAAATACCCTCGATCAATGAATGTTATTCCATTAATGTCCTGTTGACCTAAAGAAGGCCTCTACTCTATGGTTTATGTTACTGTAAGTATTAATATTGTTTAAGAGTATCTTATACCTCTCATTTCCTGAAACTTACTCGGGTCATGACCCATCGAGTTGATTCCCTGTCTCACCGATAGGGATGGCAAACGGGCGGGTCGGGTGCGGATACCCCCTCCCCCATCTCCATACCCACCTAATATTTTTCAATCCACCACCCGCTCACCACCCATGATGGGTACAAATTTTCAAATCCACACCCGCCCACGCGGGTACATTTTCAAATCCATCCCCACACCCACTACCCACTAGCGACATACATATCTAGACCCGCCTGACAACAAACTAATGGGATGTTGGAGTTGGTTCCCAGACAGTTTGTGATGGGGTAGCAGCGCATGCTTCAATTTGTCAGAGGAGTAGCTCTACGAATGTTATGGAGACAGATTGTATGGAGCATGTAGTTGCCGAGCTGGATTGTTGTGTTGCTTTCGATGTTAATGCTCATAGTGCACCTAATATAGGTTTTGAGGGGCTAAAGAACATGGAAACTGCTGCTTTCGATGAGATCCTTAAATACTGTCCTAGAAAAATTCATGATTGTTTCAAGAAAAAAAAATTCTAACAATTGAAAAGATCAGATGAAAAGATCATATAAGTCTTACACTATGAACGAACCCTTAATTCAAAGATGGACATTCTTGGATAGCCATGATAAATCTGGATCATCCCATTTCCTCATTCTGACCCTTTTTCGTTGAAGAACCCTATTTAGATTAGAGTCCGCCACAATATATAATTGTTGGTATGAAAGATGCTTATAGTACGGGTGATTTGTGTTTGGATGGGCAGCATGGGCTAAAGAACATGGAAAGTGGCGTGGTTATTGGGATTATGGGTTTAATCAAAGAGTCGAATATTTTCCTAATTAAAGACCAAATTAAAGACTAAATATCCTTAATATTTGGATAAATTATATGTTATATATTATACAATATTAAAATTTATAAATTAGTCTCTAAAATTACACCTAAATTCATAATGGTCCAAAATTTAATAGATATTTAGTTGGGTGGGCGGATGTGGGGCGGGCGGATGCGGGGCGGGTAATGTCTCAAACCCATTACCCGCCCACCACCCACGACGGGTACCACTTTATAAATCCACACCCGCCTACTACCCGCTAAAATTATACCCATCTCCGCTCCAATTGGAGCGGATGCGGTGCGGAATCCACGAAACTGTACCCGTTTACCATCTCTACTCACCGGCCCGATAATAGCTCGCCTCGCGTTCATCTCTGTAATAAGTTTTCCTCAGGATTTGGGATTCCCTCTCTATCGGTACACATTTGCATTAGGGTTTTTTTCTTTTGATTTTTAAGAGTATTTTTTTCTGTAAGTATCAAATGACTAAAATACCCTCAATCAATAAATGTTATTCCATTAATGTCCTGTTGACATATAGAAGGCCTCTACTATATGGTTTTTTTTGGATAAATCAAATTTTATTATCCAAAGAGCATTGTTCTGCTACAAAACAATCAACCAATCTGTAACAAAAAAACAATAATCAACCTACTTACAAATACATAGATTGGCTAGTCAATTCCCCAAGCTTTACAAAGGTGATCATTAATACTATCAGTTCTATTAATATTTCTACCCTTAAGTTGAATCCTCACTACTTCTTTAATAACCTTTAACTGGTTCTCGGTAGTTCTAAATCTGCCTTGAAAGACTCGATGATTCCTTTCCTCCCACAAAATGTATATATAAGCAGTCCATGAGATCAGAATTGTGGTGAGTAAAGATTTCGCTTTCCATGTTGTAGCAGCATGAATAACCATTTCATCCCAAGATAAGTAAGCCTTTTGCAGTCCGCTTAGAGACATTATGGAGTTCCAAAACTGAACAGCAAGTGGACAAGTTGAGAAAATATGATCTCTTGTCTCATGCTCAATATTGCAATTAACACAAGCCCCTTCCAAGGTGATTCCCATTTTGAGTAACCTGTCTCTAGTAGGAAGTCTATTCAGCAAAGCCATCCAAGAAATTAAGCTGAATTTAGGAATATGCAAGGGAAACCAGATTAATTTGTGCCAAGGAACTTTTTCCCCTTTGATTCGGATAGCTTCCCAGATATCAGAAAGTTTTAATGAACCAGAAGAAGAAATAATAGGAAAAGTACGCATTTTTAATATTCTGCTAACAGTGTAGCTCAAGTTAGAACCTGCATTATAATCCCAAAAATCAAGATCCTTAAGAATATATTCATATAGCCAAGCAACCCAAAGAGAACCATCTTTCACAATGATTTTCCTAATGAGATCAATAAGGCAAGCTTTGTTCCAGATGTTTATGTTCTTCAGACCGAGGCCTCCTTCAGATTTGGAAAAGCAAATAGAATCCCAACTGACTCTAGCGCCTGCAGCTGCCTTGTCTTCGCCTTTCTAGAAAAATCTGGAACAGAGTTGATTAATCTTTAATAAGATCGATTGGGGAAGAATAAGTTGTCTACACCAGTAATTTGAGACACTGAACATGACTAAACGAATGAGTTCAAGCCTGCCAGCATAACTCAGATTTCTAGTAGACCAATGGTGAAGCCTTTGTTTAATTTTATCAATAAGCACTTCGCAGTCCTTCTCAGTTAGTTTTCGAGTAACTAGGGGAATCCCTAAGTATCTCACAGGTACACACCCTTTTTTAAAACCAGAGATCTGTTTAAATAAATCTAACGCTCTTGAAGAACAGCCAACAACGAAAAATTTGCATTTAGAAGAATTAAGGTGAAGCCCAGAAATTTTAGAAAACTGATCAAGAACACTTAAGACACCCATAATAGAATCAACATTGCCTTTACAAAATATCATAGGAGCATCTGCAAAAGAAAGGTGAGTAAGCCCAAGCTTCTTACATTTTGGTTTATGTTACTGTAAGTATTAATATTGTAGGTATTGATTTCAAAAGTTAGATATTAATATTAAAAGATTCTGAGATATTTTTTAGTATTGATATTATTCAAATGTATCAATATTAGAAAGTTGAAAATCGATACTCCCTACTTAATATCAATACTCTTTACTTTTAAAAGATAAGTTTGATTTCGAAATAATAGTAAGATTAAGTAATTACTCGTAATAAGAGGATTTAGCTTAAAGAATACTAAAATGGGCAATTGTGATTCAAATACCTTTGAAAGTGAAAATGATCAAAAAAACTCTAGGTGTGTAATGACAAATAAATTACTTCTATAGATGAATTGTGTGAAAAATAGAATAAAATGTAAGCAATGAATCAACGGTGAATAAGAAACTTCAAGCCTAATAGTGTGCTATGTGAAAAATGACAATGCTTGATGCCTTAATTACCATAAGCTACTAAAGATTATTTTATCCTGGCACGATGTTTTAGGTGAGAGAACATGTAATGAATGATTAGAGGAGAGAGATCCTCACTTGATCGGATTGATAGTGATGATACACGAGTAAAAGTTTGGGGTTGGATCGGGTTATATGTATGGGTTTGGGTTGCCGTAGGTTTGATAGTCTCGTTTGAGTTAGCCCAGATAAATATGAGTGTACATAAAAATCACGTTAAAAAATCTATAAAAAAATACTATTTCAACTTTTACATCAGCACGCATCAACAAAATTGTCACATCATCGATTTCTTTTGGATTTAACGATTTAGTGACAGATTTTTTTTAAAAAAAATAATGTCTTAAATGAAATATTTTATAATTTAACTATCAAATTAAAAATATGATTAAAGTTCAGTTATTAATAGTATATTTTAACTATATCTATAAAGTTAATTATTACGTTTTGTTATAAAGGTGCTTTCTATTTTAAAACTAAATAAATATCAATTGACATACTTAACAATAGGTTTAAGGGGGCATGTATTTATATCTTTTAGCATTTTTTAATATGTTTTATTATCGTCATTGCTCACATAAGAAACCAAAACTAAAATTTAAAAGGCATGACATCAAAAAGATCCCCCAATGTTGATTAAAATAGTCATTTTGATGCTTTTTTTTTTTAGTATTTTGACCATCAACGTTTCACTTTGAGGCAAAAAACTCACTCTATAGATGAAAATCATTAGTTAACACACTATTAACGCTCCAAAATAAGAGTTTTTTAATCCTAAAATGAAACATTTATGGCTAAAATGCCAAAAAAAAAGGGACAAAGTGATTATTCTATTAAATGTTAGGGCTATTTTTGCCCTAAAATGAAACATCGAGGGCCAAAATGCTCCAAAAAGTAGAATATGGGATAAAAGGGCTATTTTAATAAACGTCTGGGGCTAATTTTGACATTATACCAATTTAAAAATAAACATTGATTGCCTTCGGATCAGGTGGTAGTAATGTTTATATATATATAAAGAAAAAGAAAAAAATTACTTGAACTTTCATATATATTTAATCTATATGTTTGGGCTAAGTACTACTTCTTTTAATTATTTATATAATAATAAAATATGTCCAAAAATATATTAATTTTTTGTATATTTATTTTACTTTTGTTTCTTATTATATTTACCGTATATTTTTCAGATTTTATTTTGATTTTAATATCCCATTTTTCAAAAATAATTTTGTTAGTTTATTGAATTGATATATTTTACAGTTTTAGAAATAAAAATGCACAGATGAAACGTAAAATACATTTCTTTTTTCCCTGTCGATGCCCCAATAAAAAATTAAAACTAATTTTCTTTATTTTATTTTAAATTATAAAAAATTAATGGTTATACTTATTTTTTTTCTTTTTTTAATAATAGTACTGATCATTCATTAATAAAACAACACAAAGATTAAAAATTACAACCGTAAACATCACCCAAAAATAAAATTTTAAAAGTGAATATTATTTCAGTTTTAGTTTTATTTAATAAAGTCATTATTAATGATTGTTTTCTTAGTTTTCCTAGGCTCTTGATGTAACCAGTAAGCCATATTTATGTTCAATGATTGTCCTCTTTTGTTTATATAATAAGTCGTACGATAAAAAAAAATTATTATTTTGTTCGGATTATATTTTGTTAAAGTTGATAAATCTCTTTTTGATTTTTTTTTATATTTGAATTTGAATGTGGTTATCAATTAAGATACAAAGGTTAAAAGCCACTCAAACTAAGTTAAATATATTTTATTAATTTTTGATTGTGTTTTAATTTTATTTATGTATATTCTGACTTTTTTTATTATGTTTATAGTTTGTAGTTGTCAATTATATATTTTTTATTTTCTTTTGTTAATTATGAAATGTAGGTAAAAGTGTATTATATCGTCGATTAATTTATCTAAAAGTAGGATAAAATTTCAACGACAAGCTTCAGATGCTATCATTCTATATTTTTTTACTTCATATTTTTATGGTATAATGTTACCGCGAAATATGCTTTTGGTAGTGGAGGAAAAAGAAAAAAAACGAACACAAAAATTAGTACAATTACAAAAGGGAGTTTTAGATAATTTTTTGTATACTTAGATTTATTTTTTAAATATTTACTATTAGATGTCACATTTTCGAATTCGTCCCGGGCTACCAAAATTTGAGAAACGGTTCTGGATGGATAAATGTGTTTTGAATTGGCCCGATTTGTGTTATCAGTTTTTTGAGAATGTATCGGATAATTACAATGGTGGTTGAATTTATATGAGTCGATTGGACAAAAATTCAAAGATTTGGAGAACCAATATTTTGAACATGAGGCGAAGGCATTTACAAGTGCTCATATGTTGAAGATTATCAAAAGATTTTGATACTCCATAAATCTTGTAACCAAATGTATTTAATGCGATTGTAATACCTTGAAGATTTTAATGAAGTTGACAAATTCATGATTTTGATATTTATTTTTGAAGAAATTTGTTGATCAATCGATTCATCAAAAAAAATATTATTGGTAGGAGTATAGTTGAAGATGACATTTGATGAAATATTCATGAATCGTTCATATAATATTTGTTTATGTTTATTTATTAAGTTAATTAAATAAGAATGGACAAAATTTTTCTGAACATATACATAAACATTTTTGATGAATATATTCAAGGACGTTAGACAAACATGTTCATAAGTATTAAAAAAAAACTTAACACAAACATTTTTAAAAATAAATAAACAAATATGTTCACAAATATTAAAATTTAAACGATCATTATAATCACTTAAAAAATAAAAAAATAACCAACGCCGCCCCGTTATTTTTAAACTCATGGATTATTGGTAACAAGCAGCCTTTGGGTGTTGTCATTATATATGGTCAACACCGATGCTTGTGAATTTCCAAGAAAAATATCTGACAACCGATTCCATTGCGTAGTTTAAGGATCTTCTTTTTCCATTTTATTCTTCAAGGTTATCGAATTTGTCGGTCTTCCCATTCATTTTTTCCCTTATCGTAATTTCCCTTCCTTTTTTCCACCTCTTCTTTATTTTCTTTCTGTCCAAACATGTTCTCATTATCCACAACAACAACCCCTTCCACTTTCTCCCTCCGTTGTTTCTTTGACCAACACTATTTCCTTAACGCTCAAAACGTTAAATTAAAATTCCCCAGGCGAAATATTAGACCGAAATTCGAATGTAAATCCGGTTCTAGTGATTTATTCGTTGTTTCGCCTTGTTCAACCAAGCCTCGAACACCTTCCGACACTACGTATAAACAAGGAGTTTCCGACAAGGTTAAGCTTTTGGTTTCGGAATTCAAGTCTTTGACGGAGCCGATCGATCGCGTGAAAGGGTTATTGCATTACGCGGCGATGCTCGCTCCGTTTGATGAATCGGCTCGGTTACCGGAGAATCGAGTCAAAGGTTGCGCTACCCAGGTGTGGCTCGACGTCAGGATGGATAAAAACGGGAAAGTTTGGTTTCGAGCCGACAGTGATTCGGAGATAAGTAAAGGGTTTTGTTCGTGTTTGATATGGGTAATGGATGGGGCCGACCCTGAAGAGGTTATTGGGGTGACGGCGGAGGAGCTGGCGGAGCTGAACGTCGGAGTCCACGGGAAGGTCCAATCTAGAGTGAATACGTGGCAGAATGTGTTGACTAGTATGCAGGATAGAACGGCGGCGTTGGTGGCGGAGAAACACTTGAAATTAGCTCATCAGCTAAGACGGCCACCATTTTCCTCCTTGTCGGTCAACTCTGATGGAATTTAGACAAGACATATAGGTTTGTTTTTAAGAAATTAAGCTACTTTCATTTTAATGGTTATATGACTTTTGTATATACACTACTGTTAGATTTTATCCACACTTGATAGGGGTTTCATATAATATATATATTTGATGCATGAAGTTTTTTATTTTATGCATAGTAATAAATAACACATAACAACTCATCGATAAAAAGAATTTGATTTTAAAATTGTATAATAATATGTTGATATTTAATCTATTTATAAAATTATTTCATCTTAATATATATATTCTGTCGTCGCCACCGAATAATTAGGAATCAAATTCCAATAAAATTTGGAAATATTGTGGGTAAGAAATTAAAAAAAAATACCTGTGTTGAAATATTAATTTATATAAAACTTAAAATGATAAATTTTATAAGAGAAAATAATTTCAGTGACAAAAAATCCCATATAATATACGATTTTGACCAACGTTTTTTAGATTTGTGAAAATGACCAACAAAATCGCAATGTGATCTCTAATTCGCATTGCGATCTCCACTATCGCAAATTCGCGTTGCGATAGTTGAAAATCGCGTTACGATTTTCCATTTCGCATTGCGATAGTCTACAGTTGTCGTTGCGATTTTGTTTCTTAAGAATTTTTTCTAAAAAGATAGTATCCGCGCGGACGTGTCGAAGACACGCATGACCACGACCACGACCACGACCACGACCACGACCACGACCACGACCACGACCACGAGACGGACGGCGGCGGCGGCGCGCGAGAGTCCCCCTTGTTCTCTATCACTCAACAAGGAAGTGTGAAAGACAAGCCTTAAATACTATTCCCAATAGTGTTTCCAATACTATGTGGGATTTGAGCATTACCAACACTTGTTCCCAATACTATGTGGGATTGAGCCTTAAATAGTGATATTATTTTTGAATGTTTTGCTTAAAATTGCAATAACCGCGATTGATTGTAGATTGACTTTTAATTATGACATATTTAATCGTATAATACTAATGCAATTGGTTGCTGATTCAGTTGTTTTAAGGTGCATGATTGTTAATTGTTTCCTGAATAATCACATTGTATTGGAAACAAGTGTTGGTAATGCTTAATCCCACATAGTATTGGAAACACTATTGAGAATGGTATTTAAGGCTTGACTTTCCCACTTCCTTGTTGAGTGATAGAGAACAAGGGGGACTCTCGCGCGCCGTTGCCGCCGCAGTCGTGGTCGTGGTCGTGGTAATACGTGTCTTCGACACGTCCGCGCGGATACAATCTTAGTGAAACAAAATCTTTTTTTTAACTATCACAATGAATTTGGAAAATCGCAACGCGAAATACAACGCGAATTTACGATAGTGGAGATCGCATTGCGATTTTGTTGGTCATTTTCACAAATCCAAAAAAAGTTGATCAAAATCGTATATTATCTGGGATTTTTGGTCACTGAGGTTATTTTCTCATTTTATAAATATATTCATAATTAAAACTCATCATTTGAACAATACACAAGTTATATGATACTCAGCATATTTATATGAACAATTTTAACTATTTATTTTATTTTATATAACTCATTATTTTTATACGATAAATTTCAAATATACTATAATAGATCTCAAATTAAATTATCAATATTTATATTTTTCCAAAAAAAAAATAGATTACTTAACCAAGGAAATCATCAAATCCTATATTAAAACAATTTTCCTCATTAACAAGAAAAACATCGTGTATTGTGTTGGGAATCTTATAACATATGTGTCGAATATGCAACATTATAACATGATATATGTCATGCATGACATGATGGCATGGCGGTTAAGAGCTCGACTTTAAAGCATTTTTAAATTAATTTATGGTTTCCACGATTATAGGAAGCCTTAAAGTGGAATATATTTTAGAATAAAATATACAAATGATCCTTCAATTATAGTGTTTTGTTTGGTTAAGTAATCTGATTATCAAAATTTATAAAATAATTATTTTATTATATAACGTTGTTTGTTGAATCTCTCAACTATTAAAAGTTATAATATGTTCACCCAAATATTCTTGTGAGAAAGTTGCCACGGTGATCGGAGTTGATGAGCAAAGAGAAAGACGACAACATATATTAAGGATTTAGTTTTACAAAAGCAGAGAAAATAAATACGAGATTAGTGGAGAATTATTATTGAAACTTAATTAAAGAAAAATGGTTAACTAACTCATTATGTTTGGTGGGCTTATATAGCCTATATTGCTAACTAAAATGATAACCGTCCAACAAAATAAGGCCTAATTGACTAATAATAAAAAAACAAACTAATTGTTGGTGGTAGTTTATTTCTATCTATTCATATCTTCTAAATTCATCATTTTTTGTTAAAATATCAACGATCGTTTGAATTAGGCGTTAACAGGTTAATTGGAGTATGATAAAATCTGATTCTATATATGATAAAAGCTGATCCTATAACCGTTTGAACTGTATTTTATGGAGATACTCTACATTTATATTATGTTGTTGAGTTAGTGCTTGAAATATTATATCGTCGAGTTAGCGCATGAAATATTATGTCTTCGAACAACTGTATGAAAGTAATAGCGATGCCAGTAGACATCGTTAAAATATGATTTTATATGATTTTATCGTAACCCAATCAACATATTAACGTTCAGCTTAGATGGTCGTCAATTTTTTTAACAAAAAAATTATGAATTTGAAATATATGAATGGTCGAGTGATTGTTTTGTAACTTTTAATAGTCGGAGGACTCAATAAAACAACACCTTATAATAGGGGATCATTTTGTAACTTTTAATAGTCAAATGACTCAATAGAACAATGTCCTATAATCAATGAACTATTTTTGTACTTTACCCTTTTTTAATAATTTGGGTTGATTATAACGTAATATTGGTTAATAAATTTTTTTAACCATTAATAACATATATTCACTCTACAGACACAATTACTCAAATCTATAACCTTAAAAAGAACAACACTATGAACATTTAATATATATATATATATATATATTGCAAATAAATTTAATAATATTAAAAAAAGTTTAATAATTGTTATTTTATTCCTTCTTTCCTTATCACCGCAAAAGGATGGAGAGAATTTATTGATTTAGGATGTTTCTAAAATCCAAGAACAACTATTTTTCTTAATTTTTGTGACTACTGTTGTTATTCAATTTCATTGGAAGATTTAATTTTACTCAAATAAAAAATATGCATATCTAAGGAACAGTGATGAAAAGGAAGATTAGAAGGAGAAGAAAAGCCCCCACTAAGTTGACCATAGAAGCCCAAACATTGACCTCTGAGTGAATATAATCTCTACCCTCAACAATTTGATAAATAGTGAACAACATGTAGGTTTTATTTTCTTTTTGTATTATAATATTAATTTTTATCAATTTTTTGTAATAATTTTTCTTCTTAATTTAAAATATATATATATATATGATTTGGTAAAAAAAAATTGGTTGCCCTCTTGATTTCAAGGTTTCGCCTTGACTAATTCGGACCAACCCGCATTGCTCATCTGATTTTGGTGGATGAGTCTCTCAACAGGAATTTTATGCATAAACAATAAATCAAACTCGAGACATTACTTAAGCGATATCAAACTACTTACCACTTAAACTAACCCCTGTTAGTTATGATTTGGTGATTTTTAATTATTTTAAAAGAATATTTAATATGAAAGATTATAAAATAAGATACGACTCAAAAATAGGATCTGCGTGCTTTGATGTTAAAAGTGGAAACTATCTTTGTGCCACTTCGCTTTTGAAGGTTATCCATTTCAGTCCTTAAAATTTAAAATTTGTTAATATTTTGACCTTTTCAATTTTCAATTAGATCCTTATATTTTTAAATAATGACGTATATTCTCAAATCGTGTTTTCCGAGAGATTGATCTGTGTATGGAAGGCTGTGCAGGAGACTTGAAAGTGTAATTAGCTACTTTTAAAGCCAAGATTCGAGGTCAGTACATTAATTTTGTTTTATTTTGTGTAAATGAATAATTTCACAAGGAAGATTTAGAATTAACAGCAAATAAGAGGTACGATCTGAATATCCTACAAGTAAATTGGCTCTCTCTCTCTCAAACAATTTCCAGGTAGAAGAAACTTATATTCATCCGCGTTCTGTAAAAGATACGAAGGAAGATGAACAGCCGAGAAGGAATGGGGTATAGGTCCCATTTTCCGGATTATTTCCTTGAATGTGTACTCTTCAGGGATCATGTCGAACAGAAGCGCGCCCTTGCAGATTGCTCTCTGAACTCGTTTCGGGTTCAAGTGAAGAGAGAACCTCAATCGATCTTTATGGCTGTAAGCTTTCATCTTAAATATGAACTCGCTGATGCGACGGAAGCAAAAACTGCAATGCCACCCTGCATCAGCCAAAGTCTCATCTGCCTGCCTACAATGTGCATACCTCGTTTTACCAGTCTGATACCTATGAACCGATGCTCTCCAACTCTTATCATCCACAAAAAACTCGAATGAGTATAGATACTTCTTCATCCGAAGATGAAGAACTTGAGGTATGTCATCACACCATCGCAAGAGGTTGATCGTATGCCTGCTCGGTATCTCGTCGACATCTGACATTATCAACAAGTCATCATCGGCAATTCCTGCTCTTTTGAGGAGCTGGTCTAATGCTTCTCGCTGCCGAGCCTCCTCGATAAAAGGGTTTTTTCCTTTCTTAAACCTTCCTCTAATTGTGCCATAAGTCAACCGGGGCTCAACAAATTTGAATCGATCTCGATGGCTAGCGAAAACCATAGGCTTCGGAATTCCTGAAAATGTTGAACTGGACTCAAGAAGAACAAACTGTGTAATGTAAGGGTACAACTCTTGCCACCGTATTTTGAGAATATCCACTTCGTTGCTAAACAAAACTGCATCATAAACCCTTCTCGGAAACTTACGAATCCCCCAACCATGAAGTTTACAGAGCTTCTCCATCGACACATTCCCGTGATAATAATGCGGGATATCACGGAAAGGTTTCGCCGGCGATTCCCATAATGGTCGAAGGAAGTATGAGATCTTCAGTCCATTAACATATATACTGAAGATGCATGTCGGAAGCAGTAGAAACAATAAAATACGAAGGATTCTCGACATGCTCAATCGACTCGATTCCTATAGCATCGTGGAAGTACTAGATAAATAAGTAATCAAATTCATTCAAGGTACAGTAAAAACTTGTTTCGGACCACAAAATATTTATAATTTGATTCTCTTTTATCCCGAACCTGTAACATAAATTTTCTTGCATCGACCCTATGAATAAGCATGAAGTGTGAGGAAAAGCAATGTAATATATGCAGGAAGTTAATCTCTGGCTTAAAAGCTATGAACCCAGAAACACCTCTTCATATACGTACATAAATACCAGATATGATTCTCTACTGGATTCAGTCACTCGTCTTGAATCCGAATAGCAAATCTTTTGTAAATTAAGTTCCCAAATCACTTAATCCATAGATTCTCCAATTTCTAATAGATTTCAGATGGATTATCAGGCAAACTCTCTAATCCCATATAAAAAGAAAACAATCAATAACACAATCCAAACCCCACAAAAACAGAGAAATTAAGATTCAACGATTAGCAACTAAATTGCAATGATAATAAAAATTCAACCCATCAAATTCCAACGAAAAATTTAAGACCAAAAAGAGAAAAAAAGGAAGAAAATCAAAATACCTGACCACATACATATCCCCAGATATTATCATGTTTTTTAGAGCAATAATGCCCTCTTCCTTCATTCTTCGTCCAACACATTAAAAAATAGTTTTCCTCAAGAAACCAGAAAGATGAGTTCCAGAAAATCTCGATCCAACTTCTTTCCTCTTCCAACGCTTATCTATTACCTATAACCTCTCTACGAAAGGAAAATCCATCTACGAAGGGAAAATCCATAAGCGCCATGAGAGAGACCCTTCTTAAAGTCAATTAAAGCAAAGTTTGAGCTAAAGGAATTACACACGCGCTCAGACAAATACATGTAAAAAATTCTATAAGTATCTACGATCGTGGATGAGCACAATTATTAATTTATAAAAGGTTAAATTTTAAAATATTAAATGTGTGATTATAAATTAGTTAAAAATTAAATATAAATTAATTAAAATACAATATTTATTAATTCTTAATTAGATGGTGGTATGTATCATTTTATAATTGGATTTTTTTCTTAATATTTTTATTTAATTTAATAAAATTTTATTCAATCAAATGGTGACATATGTCACAATTAAATTAATAAAAATTAAATTAAATCAATAATTATTGTTGATAGGGGTTTGAACCCAAGAAGAATAGAGAGGAAGCAAACATCCCAACTATTGCTTTACACTATTTAAATGACAAACCTATCATAACATAATGTATACAGTTAATGACAATAAAAAAAGAGAGAAAATGACTTAAAGAACTCTAATATGGAATAATTGAATAATACAATAATATGATATATTTTATTTATATTTTAAATAATTTTAATGAAAAATAAAAATAATTTTAATATATTATAATTGAAATATAATGAATAACTTCGTTAACTTAAAATTTTTCTTAATAGTTGAAGATTTATTGTAGTAAGCATTTTAACTAATGAATTGCTTTGTTTATATCTTAGTTAGAGTAAAAAATTTATATTTTATTATTTATTCATTATATACTTGAAGCAAATTTTAGGGGAAACTTGATTTTATTGAATTAGTCTAATTTAATATAGAGTTGTTAAATAAAATTAGAATCAGATCAACGTTATAATATTTTAAAATATGCAAAATGATATGTTTCAATTATAACATATTAAATTTACGGTTTTTGCATTAAATGTGATTTAAAACATAAATAAAACATATTCATTTATTAATTAGTTATAATATTTGTTTATATATATATATATTATTTTCATATTATTCAATTATTTCATGTTTGAGTCCTTATAATATCATTTATTACAATTAATTATATTATAAATTATATAGTTTATGTTTTATATACTAAACAAATTTAGTAGTTCAACTTAGTGGTAAGGATGTTTAATTTTTCGACTTGCGTCCTAGGTTCAAACCCCATCAACAAAAGTTATTGATTTAATTTATTTTTCATTCATTCAATTGGTGACATGTGACACCATTTGATTGGATGAAAAACTTATTAAATGAAAATATTAAAAAATATCATATTACATAATGACACATGTTACCATCGGATTGAAGATTAAATTTATTGAATTAAATAAAAGTTATGTTCAAATTAATAGAATGTGTAAGTAATGAGGACTAAATGTGTAAATATAAAATTTTTATTAACTGCCACGTTATCTCCTCCGTTAATATTTATTTGTTGGTGGCTTAATTGATAATATTTAAATAGTTAGGTGACCTAATTGATAAAATTAAAAAATTAGTGGTTAAAGTAAAAATAGATAGATAGTTAGGTGGTCAATGATATAATATATCCTAAAAACTAATATTTTATAAATATTATATTTTAATTAATTTACATTTATATTTTTAACTAATTTATAATTATACGTTTATTACTTTATAATTTAAAATTTTATAAATTAATTTAATGATATTCCCTTACTCGTAATGCATGCCAGCATCATCATATAGTTAAAGAATAAAGAGCTATTGCTTCCTGTTAATTCGGAGGCAGTTTTATATATTTAACCTAATGGAAGAGCGTAAATGACTGTCCCTTAAATTTTTGAAAAGAACATGGTGGTCTCAAGATTTATTTTATATTTAATGTGGTGTTTAAACTGAAAAAAGATAATTTTTTATTAATAAAGATCACCGTTACTCGTTATAGTGTTTACATGATAGTTTTTAATATTAACGTGACAATGTACTATAAAAGATGATGTGATATAAAAATTTAATTAATTATTATAAAAAGTTTGTGAATTTATCTAATTTTAAAATAAAAAATTATTTAAAAATTAAGTATTCGAACTCTAACATTTACGAATAAAATAAACTGGATTATAATGGTCGTCACATATTGACTCTCCACAATATACAATCAAAATTAATTGATTAGTAGACCGAATATCGATAATTATACAAAAAAAAGTTAAAAATAAAAATTAAGTTATTAAAAATAAAAATACTCCAATAACACAATTAAAAAAATTAAAATAAATATCACAAATTATAAAATAATAAATTTTAAATTATTAAAAAATATTAGAATATTTGAACAATTTTTATATAAAAAATTCAATTGTATCTTATCAATTTAAATATATTATTATTCATTAAATATATTTTCAGTCGAAAATATAATAATATAATAATATATTAAACATATAATACCATTTAGATAGTAAAATAAATTAAATATATTTTTAAAACAAATCACTTTTAAACTTTTCATATTTAGTAATCGTGAAATCAAATTGGATAATGTTGTCATGCTCGAAGAACACGGTTAATGATGAACAATATTAAATTAATTTTTAAAATGTTAAATTATAAAGTACTAAATATATAATTATAAATTAGTTAAAATTTTAAATGTAACTAATTAAAATATAATATTTATAAAACATTAATTTTTAAGGTAAACTATAACATTGACCACTTAACTATTTACTCTTTTTACTTTAACTACCGATTTTTCAATTTTGTCAATTGGGTCATCTAGCTATTTAAATATTGTCAATAAAGCCACATGCCATTAAATATTAACAAAGGAGATGATGCGACAGTTAATAAAATTTATATAATTACACATTTAGTTCTCATTACGTACACATTCTATTAATTCGGTCCTAAGTTTTATTTAATTTAATAAATTTAATCGATCCAATGGAGACATGAGTCATTGTGTGATTCGATTTTTTTTAATATTTTTTATTTAATAAATTTTCCATCCAAACAAATGGTGTCAAGTGTTACCAATTGAATATATGAAAAATAAATTAAATCAATAATCACTACCTATAGTGTTTGAACCTATGACACAATCCCAAAAATTGAGCACTCTAACCACTAAGTTGGACTATTAAATTTATTTAGAATACAAAATATAACCTATATAATTTTTAATATAGTTAATGGTAATAAATGACTTTATAGGACTTAAACATGAAATAATTGAATAGTGTAAAAAATAAAATATATATAAATAAATATTATAATTGGTTAATAAATGAATACGTTTTATTTATATTTTAAATCACATTTAATGAAAAATATAAAATAAAAATGAATTTAATATATTATAAATGGAAGTGTATCATTTTACATATTTTAAATCAATAAATTGTCTTCATTATTCTAATTTTATTGAATTGAAATTTATCATATCTTATATTTTGAAATATTATAACATCGATTGGATTCTAATCTTATTTAACAACTTTATATTAAAATAGACTAATTCAATAAAATCAAGTTTCTCTTAAAAGTTTCTTCAAATATGTAATGAATAAATGATAAAATATAAAATTCTTACTTTAATCGATATAAGCAAGTCAATGCATAAGTTAAAATGCTTACTACGATAAGCCATCAACTACCAGGAAAATTCGAAGTTAATGAAACTCTTCGTTATATTTCAATTATAAAATATTAAAATTATGTTTATTTTTTTTATTAAAATGATTTAAAATATAAATAAAATATATTCACATATTAACCAATTATAATATTTGTGTACATATATCATGTTATCATATTATTTCACGTTATCATATTATTTCACGTTGGAGTTCTTATTAGGTCATTTTCTATTTTTTTATATTGTCATTAACTATATATTACGTCGTGATAGGTTTGTCATTTAATAATATTCCAATGTGTTTGCTTCTTTTTCTCATATCTTGGGTTCAAAACCTACCAACATCTGTTATTTATTTAATTTATTTTTCTATTCATTCAATTGGTGACACGTGATACCATTTGATTGGATGAAAAAAATATTAAATTAAATAAAAATATTAAGAAGAAAATCCAATCACATAGTAACACATGTCACCATAGATTTAAATAGTTAGGTGTCCTGATTGACAAAATTAAAAAATTAATAGTTAAAGCAAAAGGGGTAAATAGTTAGGAGATCAATGGTATATTTTACCCTAAAAACTAATGTTTTATAAATATGATATTAAATTACATTTAGATTTTTAACTAATTTATAATTATATGTTTAGTACTTTATAATTTAAGGTTTTATAAATTAATTTAATGATACTCATCGTTAACGGTGTTCATCCGCACTCGAAGAGCGTTCTAGAATTTTTCAATCAAATTATATTGTTTTTTATGATATTGGATCGTTAAATACTGAATCGACATGAGAGAAAATAAAAAATGTGAAGATATTGCAATTGATTATCGTAGAAGACTAGAAGTTGATCATGTTTTCCTACATTTACCCAGGCTTACAAGCATGAGTGAGAAATAAAAAGGTTTTGCCCCTAGTAGTCTCTTAAATGAAGGAGCTTGATTGACTACAAAGTTTCCTAAAAATGTCTGCAACACTAAGAAAAATGCTTGAAATAGTGGACTTATCAAGCATTGGTAGCTTGATTGGGTATAGTTTGTGTAGTCTTCTTTAGAATATGTTTTCTGCAACGCTCAAATATGCTGTCGTATAAAACATCGAATTCAACGCCTGCTCTTTCTCTATTCAATATGAACAATATGTGATCTCCCTCTACTATCTTGTAATACCTGCAATTTTTTCATTACATTTCCATGTCAAGCTGATGCAACACGACTAAAACATTGATGGAGAAGTCGGTGGTACTAACCATATGCCTGGCTGCAAAGATAGGCACTCCGAATCATTTAAAACACGACAGCTCAAGTGCTCGACCGGGAGACGAGGGTGGGTCATGGATATCGTATTCAGTGCTCCATCGTTGTCCAACCAATCCTCGTCCCTGCAAATACGAATATGTTTTCAATCTTAAAACCTCAAGCATTGCGATCTTAAAACAACAGTTTGTTAGGGACGCACCGGTAGCCTTTATATGGCGGAGGAACGTCGATAGGATGTCGATACAGGCTCATCTGTAGAACTCGCAAAAAAAGCATAGGGTGTATGCTAAGAATACCGGAAGGAACTGTGACACCAAGGAACTTCCTTGTACGTTTCGTAACATAGCTGAAATAGAATGTATTCGGAAAGGTTTGCAGACTACTGTTCAGTTTCATGGCTCCTTGAATCGTAAGATCGGGGAGGATCCAATCTCCCGTAGCCCACGGCCCTGCATTCCCCAAGAGGCAATCGACAAGACCCCAAAGACCTACGTTTCTCCATGACAAGTTAAAGTGATCGAACCCGAAATTGTAGTAGGCCTTTAGCAAGGGGATATCCAGCCAATCATATATTACAACTCCCAACCGTAATAGCTGTAGCAGACATAAAGGTTTCAAATTTCTCCCATCTTCCGGCCTGAAAACCAATCAAAATCACAGCAACCACGAATCAGGAAACTCTTTACAAGGATGATGGTATGAATATCAATGCTAAAGCATCATGAAAACGTTCGAATGCAAGCGGCTATTTTTCGGGATATCAAAATTTACCATACTTAAAATTGATGGTAGAATTCACTTCAATCAGTGCTTTTGAATTAAGCAAATAAGATTAGTTTGAAGGGAGCTCACAGCATTCCATCTAAATAAGTTCTCGTAGTTCCATTGAAGGCCCCAGATAAGGCTGTTATGCTTAACACCCAATTCTCAGATGTATTTTCATATCCCTTGAATGCCTAAGGAGAAAGACTAACATAATTGATCAGCACTAAAACAAAGAAAAAGAATCCCGTAAAAGACGATTCTACGTTCGAATCAGAGATGGACTAACTTTATCAGCAAGCATCTGCTGCAATACGCGCGCAACCTGAGCACCGGCTGAATGGCCAACAATGTGAATAGGGTGATCAGCATCCCATTCCGGGTAATGCCCTGCCATCCCAATATTGCAGTAAAACAATTTAAACCAGGCTTACATGGAATACGAATCAATCCGGCACAAAGAACGAAAATTGAAAAGTAAATCGCTATTCAGAATATAATTAAGGGATAGTCTTCTCCTGTCCACTTAACAGAAATATCTTGAAGCATAAACTATTATGCTAATCAAGTGAGCAAATTCGTCCACTAAAACACATAAACAACAATAAAGGGCAGGGAAATTTCAGCTTGCCTTGTTCATAAAGTCTTCCAAACTGGGAGTGCCCAGAAGCCTTGCTATGTTCTTCACCATAATCAACTCTCCCACCTTTCAAATAATAGAACAATTCACGAGCCCTGAAACCAACATAAAACCCTCTAAAAAATCCCATATAAACATACAAAGTCAAACCTATATGGCAACCATTTATGCTACATAATCAATTTACCTATCATATATGCTGGTAAGAGATCCCAAATCAGGCACAAGAACCCTCTCGTCTTTCTTCTCAGCCCCTGCAAAATATGAAACACTTCCAAATTTCTGCAAAAAAATAACCCACATCAGATCATAAAATTCAGCTTAAACTAAAAAAGAAAAAGAAAAAAAAAAAGAACACCAAAAGGAAGAAGATGAACATACTCCTTTGCCAAATCCAAAAATGCCATGAACCAAAACAATAGGAGGGAGATCGTCAACGTTGGTTTTACTGGGATCTTGTCTTTTCACCTCTAAACTTGCATTAGCCTTGAAAATCCGATCACTCAAAGCTTGAGGAAGGTCCCCAGCAACAGCAGTGCTATATACATAAAACCCATATAAAAGATGAACCATTGAGCTAACAAACAGCTCGGCTAATTGAAAAGCAGAAACCCACCACCATCTTATCATCTTCTCGGAACTCCTCCCCTCCAAAAGATTTTTTTTTTATAAAAAAAGTAAAACAAATCCTCCAATTTCTTGTTCTTCAAAGAAATAAATGGAGGGTCTCCTTATATGCTACTGCCGTTGAAGAAGGGAAAGGAGAAACAGGTTACCAAAATTTTCCTCTTTTTTTTTTTTGGGGGGGGGGAGGAGGAGATGAGTATATAGATTTCTTCTGGGATTCAACTTCCAAAGTTCGAAAATTGTGTGATAACAAAATCTGGAAAAACTTCCACATTTCCAGACATATATAAGGAATTACCAACGGGAAGACTCATTGTTGGTGACCCCACACCTACTTCTCGCCCTCTCAAATTTGCACACTAATCTCTTCCCCGCATTTGAAGTGATTCATTTATATTTCACGTTTATTTCATTAAATGTTTTAGAATAAGTTAATTAAAGAATTAGTGTTATATATAGAATTTTTAGTTCCAGAATGATGTTTATAAAAAATATTTAAATGTTTATTATTAAATAATTAAAATATTTTAAACATATATTATCTTATAATCACCTTAAATTAATAAAAAAATTAGATTGTCATTTGATAAATTAATTATAAATTATGAAATATACAAGTGGATTAAAAATTAGCATGTGTTTTATTTAATTAATAAAAAAAAATATTAACTAATAACGTACGATCTTCATAATTTAACTTGTGGAATTAAAAGAAGTTTACCAACCGAATAATTTCCTAAATCTCAAATTTTCCATAATTTTCTTAAAAATACATATTATACAATTTATAGATTTGTTTTATATAAAGACATGTAGATAGACGAGACCAGCCAATGATTTGTGGTATCAAAATTATTTTATCACGTAAGACATAAGTGATATGTACTAGATGAGTATTGTAGAAACAAGTTCAAATGACCAGTAGAGTAAGTAAAGACGTTTTTTTAATATAAATAAATTATATTTTAAAAATTAAAATATTTTAACTACTATTTTAGTAAAGAAATATAAAAAAGTATTATTTTAATGAGTTGTTTACCTAATACTTTAATAGGAAAAATTGATCCGTGAAATCCCAAACCCAGAAAATAAATAAAGTTTGTAGATTTGAGTGAAGGTGGAATAGTAAAAGAGAAATGAAATCTTGAGTTTAACGTAAAAAATATATAAAAGATGATTCTAGGCGAGAGTTTTCAGGAAAGGTGTGCTGGAGCCAACTCTGCAATCCTATCCATTCATTTCACCACGCGCCTACGCCCACAAGTCAATACGACCATGCAGATACCATGCATATTAAAATAATCACAGCAGAATCAATTGATCTGATCAATAAAAATCACATTAATAAAAAATTAAAGATTCAAATCTTGGAAAGATTTAATAATAATAATCGATTTTTTCACTGGTTGAAATATTTATCATTTTTAGATAATGGATCAAAAATAACATTATTAATTCTCAACTTGACAAAAATAGCGGTTAATTTATTTAAAAGTAAATTAATTTAGATTATTTTCATAAATCATTATGTTTTTAATCTAAACAGAACTTATTTCTTTGATGTATACTCGTACAAAATTCTTAATTTTAATGAGTTGGGTATTTAATGATGATATGTTTTTTTTGTTATTATGCCTATGATAAAGATTAGTTCAAGGTTTCAAGTCACTTGCAAGTTGAAAAGAGAGACATCATCCTTATAGAGATGGCAAATGTTTAGGTATTTAATGAAAATAATATTTTCTAAATTATATTATTTTTTATTTTTTTATAAAAATTTTCGTTTAAAGTATGTGTTTGATATTTTATATTATTTTTTAAGTATTTATGTTTAATAATCGTTAAAAAAATCATTATTTAACACATGTCGTGTTTAAATTTTTTAAAAATTTTATTTTCTACAAAATAAAAATATTTTTTAAAAAATATTAAAAAATATTTTCCTCCTCGTCTCCTCCCTCCCTGTATGAATCACCTATATGTTAGGATTGTTAGGATTAAATCCAGTTAAATCTTTCACACATTAAATTTAGGGTTAGGACCTTATGAGTTTATGTATTTAGGGTTGGGATGACGAGAAAGATGATGACCGATCAGTGGGTGGGTGGTAACAGAGACAGTGGTCGGAGATAATCGACGATTACTGGAAATAGGGTTTGAAATTAGAGATTTTAAGATTTTAGATTTTTTTAATTTTAAAAGGAAATTTGAATTTTTTAAAAAAGTTAAAAGTTTCAAAAAAAGTATAAATACGACACGTTCATATAACAACTTTTTTTAATGACTGGTACGACATAGACACTTGAAAGAGTAATGTTAGAAATGCTAGACGTCTACTTTGAGCGAAGAATTCTTTAAATACCTAGAGTTAAAAAAAATAGTTTAGACATTATTTTTGCACTAAGCTAAATTTAAAAAATTTAGGTGGTGGCACCGGTGGCGGACTTATGTTGATCATGCCCACCCTGAAATTTTATGAAATTCAAAAATTTTCCTATATGTGTGTTTACCTTGAAATTTTATCGTGCCCATCCTAAAATTTATCATATACACCTAGTTATAAAAAATCTATATTATTAATATATATGTACACACCCTAAAAAAAAAATTTAAATCCGCCACTTTGTAGCACTAACCTTAATATTGATAATCGACCACGTGTGTTCTCTATTTTCCCTATATTTTTATATCATATCTTTGTCCTTTTTGGTTCTTTTAGTTTTCAATAACTCCACTTTTATGGTACTTTTTTTATGTTTTTATCACACGTTTTTCTCCGCATTTTCATTTGTTTTCTTTATAGATCGTTTAATTTTTTCAGGATCGAATACGTTGTCGTCATGACTGATCAAGATGATGTTTATTTATTATTATGTTGATATTCTCTGTTTGGGAACATCACATTGGACTTGGATACACGGTTTGTGTTCGTAAATAATTTTCTCACGACGCTCGATTATGATTTGCAGTTGTCGGTGCTTTTTCAGTAATTTAATATTTATTATGGTTCTTTTGTTAATACAATCAGATAATTTATAAATTTATTATAATTTTAAATATTTTATATTTTTAATAAAAATAACAACTCTATTTAATCAAATTTGTTCTTTTAAATGTTTAGGTCCAAAACTTGTAGCGGTCAAAAGGATTGAATGGGAAGTCTAAAGTTGAAAGCGCGTGAAGGAATAGTGGAGTGTAGAGATGCGGCAAATGAGCAATATAGTAATCAGTTAGGTGTTGGTTGTCTAACCCACGTGCACCTCCTGTTTTCTTCCAATTGTCTTTATTACATTTATTATTATTTAATTTATATTTTTTTATTTTTTATTTATTCACAATGTTTAACATGTTACGTTTATTCGGTGTATTTTTTTCTAATGCATGAACATTTTTAAAAAACTAAAACAAAAAATAACGAGAGATTAAAAATATGAAAGTTTTAAACTTTCTTTCATCGAGTAATTCTGCTGTAAGGTAATTTAATTTAAAATTAAGAAAAGATATAATAAAAAATGTTAAACTTTTTTTTAACATTTCTAATTGAGTGCAATCTAAAATGTTATTTTAATTAATTTTATAATTTTTTATAATTTATTTTAAAATAGACAATTTTGATTCAAATATCCTTGAGGGTGGTAAATGATCAAAATACCCTTAGATGGATAAATCTATGATAATGTCCCTGAATGTATCAGTATTGAAAAAGAATGATGAATTGATGATGTGTAAGCCACCTCTCAAGTTTATTGATAAATTGAGGGTAAGGATAGAAGTAGGATCAAATGTTGAAAGAGTAAAATTATTTTATATAAACAGAACAAGAATCTATTAAGTATTTGAATCTAAAAATTAAGGAAGACAAAAGCCTTATTAACTAATATTTAAACTAAAAGTTACCTAAAATGATATTATACCATATGAGTAGTGAATCGTTAATGAAAAATCGATTTCAAGCTGAATAATGTGTTAAGTGAATAATGTACCATATGAGTGACGATAATGCTTAATGTCATACACATTATAGGTTACTAAAAGACTAAGTTGTCATTGCTTAACGTTCTAGATGAGAGAACATGTTATGTAGCAATAAGAGAGAAAATGTTCTCACTTGATTGTGTTAGCAACGATGCTTAAATATTTAAATTATTTTGTTTGACCTTATAAGGTAATGGTTTATATGTATGATCTATGGACACTTATGCATATTGTGATCTTGTGTTATACCGATTGTTGGATATCTGGTGCCTAGCCTGAATGTTGTGGTGACATCATACTAATGTTGTATATCGTGAGCGAAAATTATATTGAGGCATATGTGACTTTGAGTGTCCCTTCTATTGTCTGTACTCGATTTCTATGGTGACATCGAGACATTATTTATTGTATTGATTGATTTGCAATATATTACTAGTTATGTAAGCTATTTGACGACCTAGAGAGATAAGCTCTTAAGTGGATTGGTAATAAAACACATCTTTCAAACAAAATTTAAGGAATGTCTATAAATTTTTTTCCAAATCAAACACGATGATTAAAAAAAATTCACGTGCAAATCAAAGTTTTTATGTTACGAAGATGTAACAACCTCTGGAATGTGTTATGTTAAACTCATTCCAAGTAAATCTATAACAATGATGGTACAATTGTGATTTTTTTCAAGCACTCAAGTATTCATACCCCCATCATATTTACATGTTCAAATGTTAATATAGATCATAGAAGATACGTGGATGATGTATATCATTTTCGTATGTCATCAATGTATGCGTATATGACTTCCCCCCAACCGTAATGAAAAAGAAAGGAATGATGTTATCACTTGGCCTATAGATTATTCATTGTGTATAAACCTACATGCTATTATTCATCATTAACTAAGAATCACAATAATATTTATCAATGGAAAAACCGAACAACTTATTATAGAAACCCATGTCATAATAAGAAAAATTGTTTATCTTTCTTAACGTCTCACAACCCTGAACCATAATTGGTGTTTTTTATCATTTGTAATACATATTTTGTAAAGTTACTTTTAAATGAAATCGTTATTAGTATATCTTCACATGCAACAATTTCATTATATTTATAACAATATAAAATAATCTTCAAAA